CCTCCACCCTTGCAACGATGACAAATAATATCATGTGTTTGCCCTGTTGATGCCATGGATGAAGAAGAGCTTTGTGCAGGCCCAGAAGGTGTGCTCTTGGTAGATAGTGGTGGTTGTGCCTGCTTTCTTGTATCATGGTTGGAGGTGGCAGTTGACGGAGGCGCCGGTGCAGCAGAACGTGTGGAAGTAGAGGATGCACGCGGTGTCCATGATGAAGGTCGACCTGTAGAAAAGTTAGTTCGCGCCAATGCCTATCGATCTTGCACTTCACGTTCAGCTTTGCAAGCAAGATGGAATAAACGAGTGATATTATTATATTCCTTATACTCTAGAATGGTCTAAATCTCTTTATTTAATCCACCCATAAAACGTGCAAGCATAGCTTCATTATCCTCAACAATGCCACATCTAATCATACCAGTTTGTAATTCCTGATAATATTCTTCTACAGAATTTTTTTCTTGTCTCAAACGCTGCAATTTTTGAAGCAATTCATGTTGATAATATGGTGGAACCCAACGAGTACGCATAGTATTTTTCAAAGCAGCCCAAGTAGCTGGAATAGGATATAATCTACAATGTTTAGACCACCAAACACATGCAAAAATAGTGAAAGCACAAATAGCATCAGGAACACGTCTCTCCTCATGATATTGTAAACATGTAAAACGTTGTTCAGTTTTTAACTCCCAAGTAAGATATATATCAGGAACATATCTACCCTCAAATGGTTGAATATTCAATTTTAGTTTAGGAAGATGGTCATGATCTCGTACCTCAGGTGGTGGTGCAGCCCTACCGTTGCAATGATATGCATGGGGACGACCTGGTGGTGGTGGTGCTGGTGGTTGCACGTAGTTCTGATTTTGATCAACCTCATCCTCGTACTGGTCCTCCACCTCTGCAGCAGGAGGAGCTACAGAAGCATCAACAGTAGGTACAGCGGCACCAGAATTTTGACCAGGCTCAAGGGGAACGCGCAGTGCTTGTCCCACTTGATTTGGAAGGTGATGTTGTTGTTGTTGTTGTTGTTGTTGTTGTTGTTGTTGTTGTTGTAGAGGTGCGACATGTGCAGCGGGCGGTGGTTGTGGAAGACGAGTACTTCATCAAACTTTGCATCCAAGTTGGTGTCAATTGTCTTCTCAACGTCATCAATCCTCTCTAGTGCCTTTTCGAAGGTGGCCATGACGTCTTCCACCTATTGACTCAACATTTGCTGAAATCCTTCTTCGTCATGTTCTGCCAGTCAATCTCGTCGACTTGTGGTCCTGCCATGGTTAGCAGCAATAGAAACACACAAGAATATGATCCTATAGACTACTAGAAAGTGGCAGTGTGTCACAAATCCGTCAAGCAAATCTCAAATTCTTACCAGTTCTTACCAAGCGGCAGGTGGTGATTGGCAACCGTTGTAGTCAAAACTCTCAAAGCTTGGATAGAGCGATTATCAGGGAGAGTCAAACGCACGACGTAGATGTATGTGGAGCTGGGAAGGCTTATAATATGGTAGCAAAAAGGATCCGCAATAATCAAATCAGAGATGCAAAGTTGAATAAACGCTCAACGACGGTACTGTGCTGGTCCTAGGCTAGACCGTGCTAGAGACGCGAGCCTAGAACACTAACAAAATCACGGCGCTGCATGTAAACAAGGGAGGAGCACACTTTGTTTTTTCTTTTTTTCACTTTTTTGCACTTTTTTTCCTCTTTTTTTGCTCCACGACAATTTTTTTTTCGAAAAATTCTACAAATGGTCTAAAAATTGCCTAGCCAGAATTTTCTAGACTTAGTTTTTTCTGAAACTGGAACTATTTTTCTTCTGCGGGTGGCACGGAAGTTGGGGAATCCGACTTGTTCATGACTCGTAGTATCGCGTGATCTAGAAGTCAAAAATAAAGGAACAAATACTGGACTCGGACTGGTGGCGGAGATGAATCTGGTGGAACTCGGACTGGTGATGGTATATGATGGTGGTATATGTGGACTCGGATTGGTGGTGGTATATGGACTCGGATCGATGGTGTTATATGGACTCAGATTGGTGGTGGTATATGGACTCGGAGCGGTGGTGGTATATGGACTCGGAGTGGTGATGGTATATGGACTCAAAGAAATAGCGGATAAGCGGTGGTGGTATATGGCAGGGGCGATGATGATGGTGCAGCGGGGGCGTGACAACTTGTGAACAAAACTCGAAACTCTAAAGAACTGGACACTAAGACCAGCAACTTGACACGACGATGCAACCGCAAATTCAACGCGGCAAAAACAGAAAAGTTTATGCAATGGCTCAGATTAGTTTGGATAGGATGAACTAACCCTATTTTTTGGCTTTTTTCGTGGACTATAGGTATGAAGAAACAAACTCGATCTAAACTACGAAGAACTGTAAAATCTCACCGAGCAACCTGGAAATCTGATACCACTTGATAGATGCGAAGGTTCCTGATGTTTCGATGAGATAGCTATCGTTTTCTGTGGGAGTCGACTTTGAAGATCCAACTATGAACGTGCGAAGACGTCGCGCCTTAGCAATCGCTAAACCAACTTCCGAGGGTTATTGACCACGCCGGAGCATGATCAACCTGACCACAAGGGTCTATTTCCTGTGAGCAAAACAAAGAAAAAACAAGAAATTGAGATTGCAATCTAGATATTGCGAATATAAGATGAAAGCTTTATTGATCAAGGTGGGGTTCTGTGACGTCTTGGTCTGGTCATTGAACACAAATGAAGTACGCGAAGTTGCAGCTACGGTGGACTTTTAATCTAAACAAAACCCAAAGTCTAAATGACGCCCTAAGAGTTGTATATATGGAGGAAGAGGGGGGAATTTGGTGGCCCTTGGAGGAGGGGTCCGAAACCAACCCTAACTCTTGTTTCCCCACACATACGGACTCTAAAAACAGCCTATACTTAAGTATTTCGAAATTACATGGGCCTGGCCCAATAATAAGGTGACGCAGCACCTAGAATAGTCTCTCGACGAAATTTATGAAGTGTCATCTTGTATATTTCGTCCAAGGCTTCATGCACTCTTATGGTGGTTTCAAAGTCCCGAAATCATCACTTGCAACTCCGTTCTTGTTCCCCTTGCGCATGCCATCATCTCCATGTTTGGTCTTGCTCCAGTGTTCATCCCTCTTATCCACGCTAGGCCCTTCATTTGTAAGCAAAACAAATGTATCCAATTTAGGCAACATCATATTCTCATGAACATTAGAATCATTACCAAGAAATGAAAGTACCTGATAATTTAATTGGGGTGCACGAGCTCTAGTAATTGGTCCAGTATATGTAGCAGTAGGGGTTGTGGGGTGTAACAATGATATTGATGTCCTCATCACACAAACTAACTAACACTTGCACACAACGCGAAAAAGGGATCGTACGAGTTCAAAGTTGAGTAGCTTCCGTGTGTAACTGTGATATGATATTGGCTCTTACCGGACTGAGTAACTTGTGGGAACCCTCCTGAGTAGACCAGCGGATGTAGGTGTATAGGTCGGACTAGGCGTGCCATTTCTGAGAGGGCTACCACCTCCAAAAGTCTCGTCTTGATCTACCTAGCTACTTCACAAGTGAAGTTTAGTATCACAAGGGTGTGATCGGGAATCACGGGTAAAGCACACAAACCTCTAAAGAGTGTATAAAACTGATCATGGTTAGCCGTGTCCCCGGTTACGGACAACTTTTGAGCAACTCACTTGAGAATTGTCGTCTTGATCTCATCACCTCTTCTTTTAAAAGCAATGGGTTGAACCAACGGGGAGTGTGGAGCTGATCTCAGAGGACTGAAGGACCCAGGGTCTCTGGAGAAAGGCTTGGGGCAACCATGCGGTGCGGAAGCCCACATATTCAAATTGCATTTATGAGTGATCACGTGATACGATCTGCCCAAAATTACTGTGTGATGTGATATATCTAGCTATTAGAGTAGACCACTACTAAAATAATAAGGCAACACTATTTTTCTGCATAGAGCCTTGAACCCCAGCAGCCAAAATGCACGTAGATGAACAAGATTCCATGTGAACTATGGACTTGCCAATACATTCAAAGTATTGGCTCTAGTAACTGTAATGTATCATATTGTAGGTGATTACTAAGGAGTGATTTACGTAGGGTCTCGTGCCTCCACTCGACATGCTTTCCAGTGGCGTTGAAGCTTATCAAGACGTCTATTTTAGATTTGCTTTTGCGTTTGCTTGTTATGAACTTTGTTTGCTTATTGTAAGACTATGTATTTGACTAACCTATGGCTAGAGTCTGCTTTTTAAATGATGCGATGTACTAAAGGACACATTTATGTATAATATAACATCTAATATAACATCGTTACCATATATGTCGATGATTCAATTCAGACATTGGCATAGGAACATACAGAGATCGTATGCATGAAAAAAGTGAGTCATGATGCTGTGAAGCTTAACGAAGAACACAGAATGGTAGCAGCTGTAAACAAAGCTAGCCCGAAGGCATTCCCATAAAGAAAAGAAAAACTATATTTCCGCCTTTCTCTGCAAAATAAAAACACATCCCCGTGTTTTTATTTGAAAGCAAAACACATCCCGTCTCTCCCTCTATGTGAGCCACGAAGACCAGGAACAGCACGTACCCAGCCTGGTCGGCCAGGAAATACGCCTTCCCGACTGATTTACGTACTTCTTTAGAGGATAACGCTATATATGGGGTTATTATACCTGGCCAAACCTCGGGCCGGGCCAGGCTTCGGGCCGGCCTAGCCAAGCCCGAGCCAAAAAACCTGGGCCCGAGCCCGGCCCAGCCATCGGGCCTAGTTTTTGGGCCCAAGCCCGGCCCGAACATGCAAAAGCTCGCCGGGCCTCGGGCCTTGGGCCGGGCCCCTTCAGAAAACGGCAAAAATGACGGGCCCGGGCCCGGCCCGGCCAGGCCACCGGTCTCAAAATCTACGCCCGAGCCCGGCCCAGGAGCAGCGTCGGGCCGGGTCGGGTCGGGCTTTTTCGGGCCGGGCTGGCCATGGCCAGGTCTAGGGGTTATAAAGAAGAACACCAGTTGTGTTGTGCTAAAACGAAAGCCGCCACGCCTTCTAGAACCTTCCACATCACTTTCCGCAAAACCCTAAACCCAGCACTATCAGCCGGAGCCATGCGACGGCCGCAGCGCCGCGCTGTAGCTAAGCAAAGCCGCGCCAAGGATGGCGACGAGATCCGCCTCCTTGAGGCCTGGATCGACGCCGGCAAGCCCCTCCCGGGAACCAAGCCGCCTCCCCCCTCGGAGGAGTCCTCCGCCGCCAACGCACGGGTAAGGGCACGAGATGTAGTGGCTAAGGCGGCGGCTGGGGACTACTCGGATTATGGCGCGTCCACGCGGTTCGACGAGCTGCCGCTGTCGAAGAAGACCAAGGACGCCCTGCGGAAGGCGGGGTACAAGGAGATGAGCGAGATCCAGCGGGCCGCCCTGCCCCACGCGCTCTGCGGGCACGACGTCCTCGGCGCGGCCAAGACCGGGTCCGGCAAAACCCTCGCCTTCGTCATCCCAGTAAGCTGTTAATTTACTCTTTAAATCCCACTTGTAGGGAACGCAGATTAAGAATGGTCGCATACACTGTGAATTATCATCATAGTTTTATCTTTTAGCTCTGCAAATTGTGCTCTGGAAGCACGCATTTCTTACATCTTGACTGTTTAGCTCATCATATGGTCATGTCAAGTGCCGCTGCCAAGAAATCCGTGGGTAGCTCATCTTATCACAATCCTTATTGGCAGGTCATTGAGAAGCTGTATCGGGAGAAATGGAGTCAAGAGGATGGTGTGGGTTGCATTATTCTCTCTCCCACTAATGATTTAGCTGGTCAAATTTGGGAAGTGGTCAGGAAAGTCGGGAAGCACCATAACTTTAGTGGTGGTGCTATCGTTAAGCGCACGGGTATCGAGCAAGAAAAAGAACGCATAAACAGTTTGAATATCTTAGTGTGCACTCCTGGACGGTTAGTCCAGCACTTTGATGAGACTCCAAACTTCGATTGCTCAAATCTCCAGGTTATCAGACATAACTTGATTTATGGTTATTTCAAATTCCAAATGATGAGATGTAGATAATCTAACATCATGTCTTCTTTGGTAGGAAACAGATATTGGTGCTTGATGAGGCGGATCAAATACTTGATAAAAATTTCAAATCCCAAGTTGACATTATCCTTTCTCAAATTCCCAAAGCTAGACAAACCTTACTGTTTTCTGCCACACAGACGAAGTCAGTTAAGGACCTCGCAAGGGTTAGCCTAAAGAATCCTGAATATATTAGTGTGCATGAGCAGGCTAGCACGGCTACCCCAGATAACCTTGAGCAGTGTGCCATGATTGTGCCTCTTGAACAGAAACTGAATATGCTTTGGAGTTTCATCAAAAGGCATCTAAAGTCAAAAATACTAGTCTTCTTATCAAGTGTTAAGCAGGTAATGTTTTATCTGTTGACAAGTTGTACTTTATGTGCCCTCCAGCAGTCATGTCGTTAAGGAACAAAATAGATAAACCTTCTGTGGAAATTGGCAGTGGTGTTTATTTTCTTTTCTTTTCTTGGGTACTGTGTGTCTTACATTTTGATTTATCACTTGTCATACTAAAATATTAGGAATGTGTGTGTTGCTAATTTTATTAATTTGTGAAATATATCTGGATTTTTCTTGCGGAATTTTAATTTGTATTTTTGCTACCTAAATCAGTGATGACTGTATGAGTGTACCAAGGGTGATTACATGGCATATTTTTGAAACAGATTGTTCAAGAGTTAGTTATTATTGTTTCTTATTTATGTAATATTGGACTTTTGCAGGTCAAATTTGTGTATGAAATTTTCAAGAAACTACGTCCTGGTATTCCTCTAAAATGTATGCATGGGCGGATGAAATACGAAGTACAGCAGGCTATAGTAGCAGAGTTCAGCGAAAGTACTTCGGTTCTGTTCTCAACTGATATATTTGCTAGAGGACTGGATATAGGGAATGTGGATTGGGTGGTACAGGTATATCTTTGTCTCAAGAACTAATATTTTGCTTGAAACGCTCATACTGTAACTTCTTAGTTGTTGTCTTTGTAGGTTGATTGTCCAGAAAGCGTCGCAATGTACATCCACAGAGTTGGTCGCACAGCTCGTTACAACAAGAAAGGGAAATCTCTTATATTCTTGTGTCCAGAGGAAGAAAGAATGCTGGAAAAATTGAAGGCAACTGAGAGTAAAATACCTATTAGTGTTCGCAAGGTCAGCAGCAAGCTTATCAGTTTATCTAATGCTTAGTTTGTTGCTTGATCTATATCTTTTCAAGTTTGATCAATATTTGTTCAATCTCATCTCAGGTGAGCTCTTAGAATGAGTAGGCTAGACATGAGGCGGTTCTACCATAGCTGCTTATCTAGGGTGTACTCCCTCCATAAAGAAATATAAAAGATCACTACTTTAGTGATCTAAATGCTCTTATATTTCTTTACGGACGGAGTGATCTAAACGCTCTTATATTTCTTTCCGGAGGGAGTATATTTTTTCATGTCTAGCGGGACTTCCTTTTTTTTAATACTTACTGTCCAAATTGTCTTTGTTATAGCCTAAAGTGGAACAACTGGAGCAGATATCTCAGAATGTAGCAGCAGTGCTTGTTAAATTTCCCAATCTGCAGCAACTAGGTAAAAGGGCTTTTGTGACCTATCTCAAGTCAGTGTACCTCCAGGGAGACAAAGAGGTGTTCGATCTGAGCAGGTTCTCTGCGGAGAGTTTTGCTGCATACGCCTCTTCACTTGGTCTTCCTGTTACCCCTAAAATCCGCTTCGTAAGCCACAAGAAGAATGTGTCGAAGAAAGATATGAAGGACATTGATGTGAAACAGATGAAACACAAAGCTGAAGTCATTGAAATAAAGCCACAGGTCAATCGTGATATGCTTGCAGATGATGGACCTGACGATGATATCCTTTATCCGAAGAAGCCCAACACAGATGCAAATATTTATGATGGACTAGATGATATCCTTTCTCCCAAAGTGCCTGACACTGAACCAGAAAAAATCAAAGAGTATGTCCCTTTAACTTTTTTTTCTCACGGCATGCTCCTTGTATCTCCCAACTTCCATAATCCAGGCTCAGATCTGGGTGTTATTTTCTGTGGGTTATGCTAATCTGTTGTCTTGTCAGGCTGGCAGCGAGGCCCTTGAAAAAGAAGAAGCTGAAAATAAACATGCACAGGCCTGTGGGAACAAGGGTCAAGTACGACGATGAGGGCAATGCGATTGATCCCCTTGCATCTTTAGCCGAAGAAGTGGGCCCAGAAGACGTGATTCACAAGGATAAAAGTTCGTTCAGCTTCTTTTATGATTCATACCTATAGTTTTACACTACTATGTGGCTTGAAACTCACATAATTTTTGACTTTATTGCTGCAGTTCTGCAGAGGTATGCAGAGATGCTGAGAGAAATGCAGGAGGATGACAAGGAGGACAAGGCCCAGCACAAGAAGAGTTTGCACGAGAAGAAGTTTGAGAAGAAGATGAAACTGAAGCGCAGGCGACAGGAGGAAACAGATGCGGTGTCTGACGACAGTGGCTCAGAGTCCGACAGAAACCAGAACATGTCCTCCAAGGGTAAAAAGAAGTACTTCAACAACAGCGACGATGATGAAGGTGGTGCAGCTAAGGGCGGGGACCTTCTCGCGCAGCAGGAGGCACTGGCACTGAAGCTTCTGGGTAAAATGCACGACTAAACTTCCGGGTCTGATGGTGTTGGGTGTTGGTGCTGAGCGACAATGCTGGGTGTGTACCGCGTGATTGCCGGTTGTAGGTTAGTGAACTCTCCACAATGGAGACGAAATTTTGATGTGCTACTGTATGGTTTCCTGGGAGTTGATATATATAATTGAAGGGAGACTTGCTTATTTGGCCCTTTTAAAAGAAACATGCTTCCCTATTTGGCCCTCCCTTCTATCCATATTAATTGATGCTAATTCGGCCATTTAAAATATATGCTTCCGTATTTGGTCCTAGCCCTTTATAAAATATGCTTCTCTATTTGTTCCTAACTTTTTCCCTATTTGAAATACCTTATAAAATTTACCAGATATGAATAGTCAAAGAAATAATATGATAGCTAAAATTGAAAGTATTTATTGTGTTTGGTTACTGTATTGTTATAAAATATTAGGAACCTTGTTTAGTTTATCAGAGCATCTACAACCGGACTTGAAAAATCCGTCCCCTTATACGCGTGTGGGCACGTCCGCGGACAATGCTTGGCCCCTCATGTCCGCGGATGGCCCCTCATTTGGCCTGCCGGATAGCCACACACCTCAAATGTAGATCCTCAAATCCATGTAATTCATTCATGTGGATCCTAGAGCACAAATTTGGCAATTCAACAACGTGACAAAGCAAAATAAATCATAGTTCAACAGTCCGGTCATGCCAAAATGAAATTCAACTTCGAGCGTGATGGATCACTTGCTGGTCAGATCACTCGCCAGACGCCATCTCGCCTGCTTCGTTGTCATCCTTACCCCTGCTTCGACTGCTTTGCCTGGACCATTGCCACTTGCTCTACTTGCATCTTTGCCTTCGCGCCCGCTGCCTCCATCGCCGGTTCCTATGGGCGACGTTCTCCCGCTTGCACGCCGGAGTTGAGGATGGGACACCCACGGCTGCCGCCGAAGCAGCCTCTGTGGCAGCGTTGTGGGACGGGTTGGTCGACATCTAGGCCGGCAGATGGGGGCCAACGACGAGGATGAGGGAGGAAGGGAGGACGACAACAAAGGAAATGGTGGACGAACACGGGAAGAGAGCAATGGGTTTGGTGAATCTGAGGGATTTGTGCAATTTATGGTGGGGTCAGGCTGTCTGCTCCAATGTGACTGATGCGCCTGGGTCTTCTCATACCCACCCTAGATTTGAGTTGGATATCAGGGGTGTCGGTCAGTCCGGACATTTAGGTCCGGTATGAGGAGCCTGTCTGGACTTTTTTTATCACTCAATGACCGGACAGTTCGGCCAGTGTTTGAGGCCGGTTTGAGGCCCCATCTTGTCTTGTTTATTGCTGTAAGACATATGACACCACCCTCGGATCGATCGAGCTTTCATTCTGCCGTATGGCATGTGAATGGCCCGTGTGTGAATGAACTTTGGCATCTTAATTTGACTCTCGATGCCATTGGTCAACAACATTAAACTCCATTTGCATTTCCTACGGTTCAGCGTAAGTTCACATCAGTTTCCGAACGTCCCCTCCTCTCATCATACCTTCTCTCACAGCTTCATAAGCCGCAATGTACCATGGCCCTGTTGTAGAATCAAAAACCGTTTCTTGCTTGGAGCTCTTTCAACTCATTGTACCTTTGTTCAGGAAATGAACACTACGCGATAGTAATCTTTATCGGCTGGGAAACTAGCATCGGCGTGAACCTTTGCACCGATCCCTTTCTCACTTTCATAGACCAAGAATATATCCTTAGTCCCTCTTAAGTACTTAAGGATATTCTAAATCATTGTCCGGTAACTCTCACCTGGATCAGTCGGGTATCTGCTCATGAAACTCCGAGCATAGAAAACATCCAGACGAGTACATAACATAACATACATGATTAACGCGATAGCCGAAGCATGCAAAATCTTATCCAAGTAACTCTGAGTCTTGCTATGACAAATTCCATGAGACATAGGCAAGAACGTTTTCTTGGCCTCATGCATGTTGAACCACCTCAACATCTTGTCAATGCAAGTACTCTGGCTTCATCCAATAAGCATGCTCGATATATTTCTATAGATCTTGATTCCAAAAATATAAGCTCCTTCTCCCAAGTCCTTCGTCGAAAGACTATTATTCAACAAGTGTTTGATAGATCAAGCATTTGAATGTCATTCCCAATCAATAATAATGTCGTCCATATATAAGATTAGAAATACAACATAGCTCCCACTAAACTTCTTGTAAGCACAAGGTTCATATTGTTTGAATTGAAGTCAAACCCTTTAACCAGCACATCAAAACAAATGCTCCATCCCCGAGAGGCTTACTTCAACCCATAAATGGATCTTTGAAGCTTGCGTACCTTACTAGCATTCTGTGGATTGACAAAACCCTCGAGCTGTACCATATACATGTTCGGGGTTAAATTTCCATTAAGGAAACCCGTTTTGACATCCATCTGCCATATCTCATAATTGAAATCCATATATATAGTTGAAATGATCCAAACTGACTAAAGCATCGCTACCAGCGAGAAAGTCTCGTTGCGGTCAACTCCTTGAACTTATGGAAAACCTTTTATGACAAGTCAAGCTTTATTAATCTAAACTTTTCCATTCATATCAGTTTCTTCTTAAAAATCCATTTGCACTCAATTGTTTTAACACCATCTGACGGATCAACCAAGTTCCAAACTTGATTGTCGTCCATGCACTTTAACTCGGATCTCATGGCCTCAAGCCATAACTCTAAATTTGGGACTACCATCACTTCCACATAGGTCGAAGGCTCATCATTGTCTAACAACAATACTGATGTGATCATATAGGTCGTGCTATTCCATATACATTGCAGATTGGCGATTTTTGTATTGAGGTGCCGTCGACACAACCAGAGAAGCAGGAGATCAAACCCACATTTAGAACACCATGCAATTGTTTTTGTATTGGTTGTGTGTGTGGAGTACCAGGACGTGAAGGATTGGAGTTTTATAGTTGAATCAAATACAGAAAAACGCAACGCTATGGTTGCGCCAAATATGTTCGCTTGCTAATCCGCGAGGGATCCAAGAGTTGCTTGGTGTGAGATTGATATGTGATTGATTATACACTGGTTTTTCTGCACTTTGGTCTTCTGGTGCATTGCCTGATCCGAAGAGCCGCTTTTCTACCTTTCATCCATTTCTGCTATCACGAGGATTGTTTATCGTGTTCGTTGTTGATTTTCTTGTACCGTGAAAGATTGGGCCAACAAACGACTCGCCGGCTAGTCGGTTCTCATCAAGTGGTATCAGAGAAAGGTTGATCACAATACATTTTTTTCTAGTTCTTGAGTTTGTCTATTTGAGTCACTGCAATGGTGAATTCACAGAAATCAAATGCAAGTGTTCACGGTGCACATGAAGCAGATGTAGATGACGAGCTGCCTTTGCTCACCTGTGATTCGAGTGTTGCACTAGCTATCATGCTAGGATTGGAGGCAACTGTGACTATGTGTTGAATGGAGTGGGGAGGTGCATCGATAAGGTCGAGGTAAGTCTTGGTAGAAAGACAGCCGATCTGACCGAGCTTGTTCATTGACTAAGACCATGATCACCACCTAGTGATGGGTCTGTTGCGCTGGGTCATCACAGGCAATTATCTAGGCAGTGGGTATATGAACATGTTCGAAACCATGGTGAGCATAAAGATCATTAGTCTGAGGGGCCTGGTAGCTATTATGAGCCTAAATGACGTCCTTATAATCACCATGGAGATGGTGTACGCCATGTGGGAGGACATGAACATGCGCACCGTGACTATGAGGATGATGGTATAGGTAGAATAAAAATTTCTATACCGTCGCTCAGTGGAAAAGATAACACAGATGATTATTTGGAGTGGGATATGCGTGTGGATCATATTTTTTATGGACAGCGATACATGATACGTCTCCAACGTATCTATAATTTTTGATTGTTCCATGCTGTTATATTATCATTCTTGGATGTTTTATAATCATTTTATAGTCATTTATATCATTTTTTGGTACTAACCTATTGACATAGCCAAGTGTCAGTTGTTGTTTTTGCATGTTTTTTTACATCCCAAGTAATCAATATCAAACAGAGTCCAAAAGCAGCGAAACTTTTTGTGGATTTTTTTGGACCAGAAGACATCCAATGGCCAGGAGAAGCGCCTGCGGGGTGCTCCGAGGGAAGCACAACCCACCAGGGCACGCCTGTAGGCCCATGCGCGCCCTGGTGGGTTGTGCCCATGCCGGGTGCTCCCCGGGCCGCCTCTTTGCTCTATAAATATCCCAATATTCCAGAAAACCCTAGGAGAGTTGACGAAAATCAATTCCAACCATCGTAGAGTCCAAAACCACTAGATCCAATCTAGACACCATCACGGAGGGGTTCACCACTTCCATTGGTGCCTCTTCGATGATGCGTGAGTAATTCTTTGTAGACCTTCGGGTCTATAGTTAGTAGCCAGATGACTTCCTCTCTCTCGTTTGATTCTCAATACAATGGTCTCCTGGAGATCCATATGATGTAACTCTTTTTGCCGTGTGTTTGTTGGGATCCGATGAACTGTGAGTTTACGATCAGATCTATCTCTTTTTATCCATGAATGTTATTTGAGTTTCTTTGGTCTCTTATATGCATGATTGCTTATAGCATCGTATTTCTTCTATGATATTTGGGTTTTGTTTGGCCATCTTGATCTATTTATTTTGCAATGGAAAGAGGTGCTTTGTATGGGTTCGATCTTACGGTGCTTGATCCCAGTGACAGAAGGGGAACCGACACGTATGTATCGTTGCTACTAAGGATAAAACAATGGGGTCTATTTCTACATAAATAGATCTTGTCTACATCATGTCATCGTTCTTATTGCATTACTCCGTTTCTCCATGAACTTAATACACTAGATGCATGCTAGATAGCGGTCGACGTGTGGAGTAATAGTAGTAGATGCACGTAGGAGTCGGTCTACTAATCTTGGACGTGATGCCTATATAATAATCATTCCCTCGATATCGTCA